AGCAGGGCAATGTGTTCGGCAGTAAGAGCGGCGAGAATGATTGGAAGTGGGCGAAGCCAACGCTACTGTAAGCCTCCTGCTGAGGCTGGCAAAGCTGCGCGGAGCGGCAAAGCTGAAACCCCGTCGGGGGAATGCTAGAAGGAGCGCGCCGTGGGCACGGGCACTGGCGTTGACGCCTGCACGCGGCAAACGCAATGGGCGCCGGCCGCAGCGCCCCCTGCCCCCCGCCCGGCCCCCGGCCACGCACACCACCCGCCCCTCCGCCGCGCGAGCGAGCGGGCGAAGGTTAGCGGGGCGAAGAGGGTGAGCCAGGAGGGAATGAAGGTTGGGCAAGGGCCTCTCACGGCAATCTCGCGGCACGTCGGTTGCACGCGTGGGTGCGCAGCCACGGCGGGTTCGAGGCCCTGAAACACCGCGGGCCCACTGCGTGGCATCGCGCGCGGTAGGCGCGCTCGCCGCGAGCGCTGCCCCGCGCGGGCCCGATGGGGGGCTCGCGAAGACGCGGCGCGCCGCAACCGTGGAGTAGTGAGTTGGCGGGGCGGAGTGTTGGTAGCCAGCGCGGGTCAGCGGTTGCTGCTGCTGGGCACGTAGGTCGAAGCGCCCAGCGAGCGCGGCCGCTGGGCGAGAGAGCAGCACCGAGGCACGGGCGAGAGAAAGAGCAGCTGGCCGCTGGCAGCGCCTGCTGTCGGCGCGAGATCGGCGACGCACTGATGGGCCGACATTCGGCCGGCCCCATCTCGCAGCGAGCGCCTCAGTGGTTGTGGGCAATGAGGAGGGAGTCTCCTGATTCACCAGGTTGGTCGGCTGGTCGGGCTGGCAGGCGCGCGCGAAGGGTGGCCACGGTCCCCGCGGTGGCTCCTCCGCACGGGCTGGCAGCGTCGCTTGTCAGTTGTTGAGGTGGCGTCGCCTTGGGACCAGTGCAGGGCGGCGACGATGGCTTGCTTGGCCGCGCAGTCCAGGCCATCGCCCGCGAGGTAGGCCACGTCATTGCCCTGGCTGGTCGCGGTTCGCCTTGATGTCGGCAATCACCGGCGGGCGCCTCGCGTCGTCGATGTCGCCGCCTGTTGACTGGATGCTGCCATCGGGGGACGCGCTGCAGGTCGGCGCCCGCGTCCGCTGCGAGGCACCGGCGGCGATCGCCAGTCGCGGGCGCGTCTCCTCGACCAGGCGCTGGAGCGAGGAATTGAACGCGCCCCCGCCGCCGGCGTCGGCGGCGCGCGGCGCGCCCCGCTCGCGCGACGCTGGGGCCAGAAACTTCAAGCCTGAGCGCATGGGCTCTGTGAGGCTGTCGTTCTGCGTCGCCGCGGTCGGTTGCCCCCGCCCGCGGCGGTCGTCCGTCGCGTCTCCATGATGTCGCGGCCACCTGCTGTCATCCATGCCGCGGGTCGTAGGCTGCCCAGCGACGTCGCCAGGCGGGGTGGCCCCCTGGGCCCCGCTCAGCTCGTCGATCTCATCGATGGCCGCGTTGGCGACGCCCCTGGAACAGCGAGATTGCGACTGGAGCTGGCTCACCGCCCCAAACGGCCTTCAAGATGGCACGCGATAACCCAAGATGGTTCAAGGCGACCTCCGACATGTTGCCAGTCGGAGGTGATTGGGTGAGATCGAAGTGGAACGGAAAGCCCCCCTACCGGGAAATCGGTTTCGGTTTCGCGTTCGTGCGCGCCGTGCGCGCGCGCGAGGCGCAGCTGCGTGGGCGGGCGAGAAATATCCCGCCTCTGACTGAGGCGCGGCCTGACCCAAAGTCCCCCTTCCAGCAACCGGTGCCGCGCGGCGTCCCGCCGGTGTCCCGCCAGTGTCCCGTCGGTGTCCCGATGCTGATGATGATGATGATGGTGATGACGATGTTAATGTTGATGATGATGGCGATGATGATGATGATCGCCATGGTGGTGAGGATAAGGTGTCCCGATGATGATGATGATGATGATGATGTTGGTGATGCTGATGTTGCTGATGATGATGGTGTCACGATGATGATGATGATGACAATGATGTTGATGATCATGATGATGTTGCTGATGATGGGATGATGAGATGATAATGCAAGTGATGATGATGATGGTGCCCCGATGACGATGGTGATGATGCGCATGATGATGCTGTTGATGATGAAGATGAAGATGATGATGATGGAGTCCCGATGATGACGATGATGTTGATGGCGATGATGACGATGATGGTATCCCGATGATGATGATGCTGATGATGAGGATGAAGACGAGGTGATGATGGTGACTTTGATGGTGGTGGCCCGATGATGATGGTGATGCTGATGTTGGTGATGATGGTGTCCCGATGATGATGATGATGAGGATGATGGTGGTCCCGATGCTGGAGACGTTGGTGATGATGATGTTGCTGGTGATAATGATGGTGTCCCGATGATGATGAGGTTGATGATGTTGTTCATGATGATGGGGCGATGATGATAATAGTGTTGTTCCCATGGTGATGATGGTGTCCCGATGATGCTGATGCTGATGATAATGATGGTGACGAGGATGGTGTCCCGATGATCGTGAAGATGGTGATGATGATGGTGATGGCCATGGTGGTGATGATGCTGGTGTCCAGATGATGATGTTGATGATGCCGATGATGATTGTACCCCGATGATGACGATAATGCCGATGATCCTGGTGATGCCCATGATGATGAGATGATGAGATGCTGGTGATGAAGATGATGGTGATTGTGTCCCGATGATGATGATCAGGTTGATGATGCTGCTGTTGAGTATGATGGTGATGATGATGATGGTGTCCCGATGGTGGTGATGATGATGTCGAGTATGATGATGACGACGATGGTGTTCGACGATGATGATGTTGATGATGATGATGGCCATGGTGGTGATTATGATGACAGTGGCCCGATGATGCTGATGCTGATGTTGATGATGGTGTCCAGATGATGATGATGATGATGATGGTGACGATGGTGCTGGTGTCCCGATGATAATGATGATGACGATGCTTATGCTGATAATGTTGTTGATGGTGATGATGGTTTCCTGGTGATGATGATGATGTTGACGATGTTGTTCATGATGGCAATGATGAAATGTTGTTGTTCATGATGGTGGTGTTCCGATGATGATACTGGTGTTCCGATGATGATGATGTTGGCAATGAAGATGGTGAGGATGATGGTGTCCTGGTGATGATGATGATGATGGCAATGATGATGCTGATGATGATGGAGATGAGGTGATGATGATGGTGTCCCGATTATGATGATGATGCTGCTGATGGCGTTGATGACGACGATGTCGATGACGATGATGATGACGTTGAGCGTGCGATCGAGTGAGTTATCGATAGTGATGTCTATAGTGATACCGAGGTGTGAGATATATTGTAAGATCGATAGTGAGATCGATAGCGAGATCGATTGTGCGATCGATAGTCATATCGATGGTGAGATTGATCGAATGAAATAGATCGAGTGATATCAATTGCGAGATCGATCGAGTGAGATCGATCGAGCGAGACCGATAGTGAGATCGATAGTAAGATCGATAGCGGGGCCGATCGAGTGAGACGTTGGCCCCCCCCCGGAACCTCCTGATCACCCGAAGGGTGGTCGTGTAGGTAGGCTCGAAGACCGTTCAAATACGAATCGAAATGGCCTGGAACCCTCCCAAGGAGGCCCCGAGAGGCCAAAATCCTTCGCGCACGTGTCGTTTGAATGTCGTTAGCCTTCTCGCTCTTTCGCTTCCAGCGGGTTGACGAAACCTAAAGATGAATCCAAGCTTGCCTTAGAGAGCCCTAGGAGGGGCCCAGAAGCGCGGAACAGATCCGCAAACGCGGGCGAACCCGCGCACTGAGGGAAGGCCTGCGAAATGCGAAACTTGCCGGGTGCACCGGGGCAACGAGTGCACGAAGAGATCGCGCCGCCATTAGGCGGCTGCTGCCGGCGTCGGTCGGTCGGGGCGGTCGCAAGCGATCGGGCGGGCGACCGCCGCGGCCAGCTGGCGATCGATGAGACGAGCGCGGAAGTTCCGCGCGCGAGCCATCGCGAAAAGTCTCGCAGCTGGGAGCGCATCGCCGCGCGTGAAGGATCTGAGGGAGTCCGCGACGCAAGTCATCATGGCGTCGTTGTCGCATCTCGGAATGCGCTGGGGGTCCGCGCCCCAGTCGCAACGTCTGGGGGTGGTCGATTACGCGGGGGCCCCTGAGACCACGCGGCGGACGTGGATCTTGAAAAGGCGAACGGCATCTTAATGGATGCTGCCAACGTTGATGGCCAAGAGCACGACAGCACCCCGTTGGCGGCCTGCGCTGGGAGATCCTGATCTCACGCCGTTGCGCGGTTCTTCGATGAGCGCGGCGGCCTGCTCGCACACTTCGCGCGCGCGCGGCGCGGTCGGCGCCTTGACGGCCACCGTGACGGGAGGTGGCTTATAGGGCACCTTCATAGGTAGCACGCCGCTGTTCTGCGCGTTTGGCCCGTCGCGCGCAAGTGGCTCTGTCTTTGGCGGGGGTCTGGATGTGACCTCGCGGCAAGATGGCGCGTTCGGTCTGAGCCCGGCCGCCGCAAGCCTGTCGCCCGATAGCCGGCGGGCCCTGCCTCGGCGGCAGCCTGCGACGGCGCAGCGTCGCTCTATGGTGGCGGTGCCGGGACGGGCGCGAGCATCGCCAGCGGTACTTCGCGGCGCGACCAGTCCTTCGGCGCGGCCTTGGCGACGCCGAACTGCTTCGCCAGTGGAACGCCACCATTGCATCCACACCTTGGTCGACGCCCTGGGACCGGCGGCGCGCCCCACTGCGGTCATCGGCGGGCAGGTTGCCCGAGTTCGCGGAGCTACTTGCCCACGTCGTGGCCCGCTGGTCTACGGGCTGGCAGGCTGCACGCGGCGCCGTCTACATCTCCGCGATGACCCTCGCCATCGGGCAGATGATAGCGTCGGTTCGGCCCCGGAGCGCGCAAATGACGAGGCGAGCGCGCTGCGCCTCAGCCTCAACGCAGGCGAGCGTCTGGTCGCTGTCCAGACGCTATATCTCCGTCTTGGCGGCGCCCAGTGCGTCGTCGCACTCGCGGTCGGCGTCGCGCCTGAGGGCGCTGTCGTCGAGGACAGAAATGCCCACGTGGAAGGATCTTGCCTGCGGGGATGGCGACCCTGGCCTAGGCGGGGGAGGTGGCCGCCGCCTGCTTCTTCCCGCCATTGACGGGCGTCTCGCCACGTTGTCGCGGCCGTCGTAGAAGCGCTCGTCGCGGTCAGCATAGACAGCTCACTTCCATCCGGGTCGCAGCAGGACATTGCCAGGGTCGCCCCTCTCCGACTCATGGGTCTCGAGGTTGTTATAATACACCTAGGCATTCCATGTTGTTGGGTTCGCGGTTGGGTAGACGACCCATGGGCGCGGCGTCGGCAGCTTGCACCGATGGTCGAGCGGTAAGCCGGGTGGGAGACTTGCTTGCCTCAGCGCCTGTGCTAGCGCGCGCCCAGTCCACGTCTGGTAGCTCGGCGGGTAGACTGGCGGCGGCGGGCAGTTCCGTAGCGGCGGGTTGCTTTGGGGCTGGAGGTGGTGGGTGAGTGTGACGGTCAAAACTCGGTGCGTGGTTTTGATGATGCTGGTAGTGTTCGGCGAGGGCCGTGATCGTTCTCTCCGCGCTAGCTACGCGCGGTGCAACGGAGGGATGATGTCGTTCACGGGCCCCCGCTGGTCGAAGCTTGGTAACTCCAACACCGCCCCGCAGTCGTCGTTAAGACTGTTGAAGAAGTTGTTCATCATCGTGGTGAGCAACTTATCACACTCCCCACGGATGTCGTTCCTGATGTGGGACATGAGGTTGAAGATGTCCCATACCGCGGTACTCATGCAGCCGAAATTGTAAGTCGTTTTTCCTGTTAGCTGGCTATAGCAAGGAGCGGCCGCACGACGGTGATGTCCTCGTTTGGTGGCAGCATTTTGAGCGTGGTGTTTTGGCCCTCGAGGTCTTCTTCGTATGTGACGTCTGCTGGTGGGTGCCAGGTTGTGTCGACCATCTGTGGCCACGGAACGTTACCGTTAGTAGTCGGTCCCAGCTGGAGTTCAAATCGCACCTCCACCTCATTGTAATGTTTGGTGGGATCATGGTTTCCGCCTTCCAGCTCAGCAGGTAAAAAAGATCCTCGTTGCTCACTACAACCAGAGGCACGAGGTCACCGTTGGGGTCTCCTTCGGCTGCGCAGAAGTCTGCCCGAGTCTGAGTTGTGAGGCGGAAGTTCTTCTGCACGAAGACGGAGTTGTCGCTGTGAGAGTGTATCGCCGTCGCCCCTTTGGGGGTCAGGGTGTCCGTAAGGTAAAGGAGAAACGGTAAGGCTTTGCTCGGTTCCCGCAAGTTGGTGTTCGCGTCCGTCGCGTGTAGGATGAAGGTCACACCGTGGTACTTAGAATGGATCGGCTTTCTTCCTGCACGCTTGTACACCTGGCCGGTGAGGACCTCGCGAATTTGCTCGAATTTGCTCATTCTGGCGCCGTTCAGTCCCGTCTGCGGTTGGATATCCCTTTACTTCCTCCTCCTCCTCCTCCTCCTCCTCCTCCTCCTCCTCCTCCTCCTCCTCCTCCTCCTCCTCTTCCTCCTCCTCCTCCATCCTCCTCCTCCTCCTCCTCCTCCTCCTCCTCCTCCTCCTCCTCCTCCTCCTCCTCCTCCTCCTCCTCCTCCTCCTCCTCCTCATCCGCCTCACACCCCAACCCTGGCTCCTCATCCTCCTCCTCGTCCTCCTCCTCCCTCTGCTCTTCCTCCTCTTTCCCTTCCTTCCTCCCTTCCTCCCTCCCTATCTCCCTCTCCCCCTCCCTCCCTCCCTCTCCCTCCTCCTCCTCCTCCTCCTCCTCCTCCTCCTCCTCCTCCTCCTTTTCCTCCTCGTCCTCCTCCTCACTCCACCCCTGGGGCTGCCTCAAGCACGGCCGGGCGGACGCCAACCAGTGTTTTTGTTACGACGAAGCGCACATAGCATCCAGCCTCTCACATCTCACCCGTCAGCTCGCGTAGCGAATCCGACCGCGCTTCCACCAAGGTCGTGAGACTCAGCTGGCTCGAGGAGGGAGGAGGAGAAGGAACGAGGAGAGCTCTGCTACGCCAACTACGGCGGGCTCGTGTCGTGACGACTCTCGCGCGCTGGTTTCTGACACCGCACGAATCGCTCAAGCTCGAACGATCGCGGCTATCCGACAGCGCAGACCGTTCGGCGTCGGCCGATTCAGCCCTGCACGCCCGCGCCAGGGTCGCCGCCGCGTCGCCACGATCAGGGGGACGTAAGACCCGGGCACGGGGGACTCGGAAATCCCCGACGAGGTCGTCAAAAAATGACGAGGCCGAGCCTGCACTTTGACGAGGCCTCCCGCTGCAGACATCCCACGAAACTCCTCCTCGTCAAAATCCGAGTCGCGGTCGTCAAAAAACGATGGCGAACCCGAGTCCCGGCAAACCCGGGTCTTACGCTCCCCCGACACGACAGGAGCCTACCGCACGCTCACGCCGCCTCGTGGCCAGGCGCAGCCGGAGCCCGGGCCCTGTGCACGCCCGTGTGGATCTCGGGGGCCGCCAGGGCGTGTGCCCCGAGCCTGGGCCTGGGGTGGGCCCGGCGAGGATCGGGCCGGGCGTAGCCGAAACGGTGCCGTACAGCACCGACGTGGCCGCACGAGGCCCTCGCAAAAAAAAAAACGGCCCTGAACACCAGCAAGCGCGAAATGAGAGTGGGGAGGAGCCCAGAACGCCCTGGACGCAGCAGCTCCCTCAACGCCCGTGGCAAGTCGCCGCGAAGCGCGCGGAGCGAAGAAACCCAGGGCACCCGGATGAAAAGCACTCGGTTTCTTCATGCGCGTCCCCACTGTTGGCACTGTGTGGAGTGTCCTCAGATTCCTTCGAGTTCTCGGCGTTGCGTATTGTAAACAAGTTTCAAAGGATCAAAGGCCGATCCCTCTCAAAGTACGCCACATTCGCGTGTACGGGTCTGCGATCTCTGGAAATTACACCACGTTCGCGCCCCCGAGGCCACGATCACTCGTAAACTGCAACACGTCCGTGCCCCCGAGACCACAAACCCTCGTCATTTAAATCAGATTCGCGTGCCCGAGGCCACAAGCCATCGTAAATTATGACAGGTTCGCACACCTGATGCGACAGCTAATCACTACAAATTCGTGCTCACGAAACTACAAGCCCACTCAACACGGGCCGTCTAAAAAGTCCCCCTCTCTGCAGGGTAGAAGAACTGTAATTGTCTGCGTTGGGACATGTGTTCGGAGGGGCGTGGTTCAGACCCCCCGCCGTTTCCTGGATATGATGCACTGGGCCCGCAGCTGCGAGTCCTCGAGATATCAGCGGATACAAGGAGCCCGAAAACAGTCCCAACCGCACGATTATTCCCAAGACAGCATCAAGCAGCCCCCATAAGTTCAAAGAGGGCTGCGAAGGCAACAACGCGAGTTCAACACTGACTCCAAAAGCAGTTCAACATGTGTTGCGGATTGCCAGCTGTCCTGGCACGACGTTCCAAAATGTCTGCAAGATGGCGCCAAGACATCCCGGTACAACCCCGAGCTATCCCGTTCTGGCAGGCCAGCGGCAGAGGGCGAAGCCCTCACGGGGAGCAGAAAGTATGCGCGCCTGGCCTGGCCTGCCTCGAACTCCTCCTCGGCCGAATCGCGCAGGCCAAGAACAGGAGAGGCGGAGGGGCGCATGGCAGAGCAGCGCAACGCAGCGCGCTGCATGGCCGGGCCGTGCAGTGCAGAGCACCGAGGCGCCGAGCCGAGGCCAGAGGAAGGGGAGGAGGAGGAGGAGGAGGAGGATGAGGAGGAAGAGCAGAGGGAGGAGGAGGAGGAGGAGGAGGAGGAGAGAAGGAAGGGAGGAGAGGAGGAGAGGAGGGGAGGAGGAGGGAGAGGAGGAGGAGGGGAAAGAAGGGAAGGGGGGCAGAGGGACGCCCTGGCCAGGATCCCCAGCCCACCGCAGCGGAGGAAGGTGGCGTCACGGTCGTGGGCGTGGTCGGCCAGGTGGGCGCACTCGGGCCGCCCTCGGCCGCCTGGCGACAGGGCCCGCGGGCCACTGTGCTGCCGAGGCTGCTCCTCCTCCTCCTCCTCCTCCTCCTCCTCCTCCTCCTCCTCCTCCTCCCTCCTCCTCCTCCTCCTCCTCCCCTCCGCCTCCGCCTCCTCCTCCGCCTCCCCCGCCTCCGCCTCCGCCTCCGCCGTCCGCCTCCGCCTCCGCCTCCGCCTCCGCCTCCGCCTCCGCTCCGCCCCTCCGCCTCCGCCTCCGCCTCCGCCTCCGCCTCCGCCTCCGCCTCCGCCTCCGCCTCCCGCCTCCGCCTCCTCCTCCTCCTCCTCCTCCTCCTCCTCCTCCTCCTCCGCCTCCTCCGCCTCTCCTCCTCCTCCTCCTCCTCCTCCTCCTCCTCCTCCTCCTCCTCCTCTCCTCCTCCTCCTCCTCCTCCCTCTCCTCCTCCTCCTCCTCCTCCTCCTCCTCCTCCTCCTCCTCCTCCTCCTCCTCCTCCTCCTCCTCCTCCTCCTCCTCCTCCTCCTCCTCCTCCTCCTCCTCCTCCTCCTCCTCCTCCTCCTCTCCTCCTCCTCCTCCTCCTCCTCCTCCTCCTCCTCCTCCTCCTCCGTCCTCCTCCTCCTCTCCTCCTCCTCCTCCTCCTCTCCTCCTCCTCCTCCTCCTCCTCCTCCTCCTCCTCCTCCTCTCCTCCTCCTCCTCCTCCTCCTCCTCCTCCTCCTCCTCCTCCTCCCCTCCTCCTCCTCCTCCTCCTCCTCCTCCTCCTCTCCTCCTCCTCCTCCTCCTCCTCCTCCCCATCTTCCTCCCCCTCTTCCTCCTCCTCCTACTCCCCCTCCTCCTCCTCCCAGTGTAAAGCTAAGCTGCACACATACATGTCTTTTTGTTCCGGGCCTTCCTGTTGGTCCATGGTCCGATCCTGGGCGCTGATGTGCCCCCCCTGGATCCGGGGCCCTAGAGGGCCCCTGACCACCCTGCGCCGAGCCTTCCCCCTGTCCTCGCCTCTCCCTCCTCGCACAGTGGCCGACCGCTGCTGCTCGACGCAGGCCTTGGAAAGTTCTGCCGCTGCGCGGGCGACCCCCTGGCGGCGGCACCGCCCCTCGACAAATGGTTCCTGCGGGACCCGGCCTACCAGAGAAGCAGGAGGGCTCCCCAGAGCCCAAGATCTACCAGAAGATCCCAGAGAGCCCAACGTTGCTGGTGCGTCCTTCGCACTTGGTACTGGTTCGTCCTTCGAGTGTCTGCCACCCCCTCCCCCCTGGCGGCCCCGCTCCCGACGCAAATCCCCGCAGCAAGGGGGCGCCGTCGTCGGTCGTCGGTCGTCGGTCGTCGGTCGCCGGTCGCCGGTCGCCGGTCGCCGGTCGCCGTCGCCGGCGTCGTCGTCGTCGTGGTCGTCGTCGGCCGTCGGTCGTCGTTAGTCGGTCGTCATCGTCGTCGTCGTCGGCGGCGGCGGCGTCGTAGTCGTCGCCGCCGCCGCCTGTCGTCGTCGCCGCCGCCTGGCGTCGCCGCCGCCGCCGCCGCCGTCTCTGGACCGCACGGGCGCCGCGGAGCGGCGCGCCGCTGGGATGAACTCCGCCGCGTCGGCGCGCAGGGCGCTGCGGGCGCTGCGCGGCGGGCCGCCCGCGCGCGCCGCGGCGCAGGCGGCGGGCAGCGCCTCGGGGATAGGGGCTCCACCTCGCTCCTCCTCCTCCTCCTCCTCCTCCTCCTCCTCCTCCTCCTCCTCCTCCTCCGCCTCCTCCTCCTCCTCCTCCTCCTCCTCCTCCTCCTCCTCCTCCTCCTCCTCCTCCTCGGGAGGCGGGGTTGATTCCTGAAGGAGAAGATGAAGGAGGCGGATACATAGGAGGAGGATACAGAGGAGAAGGAGGAGGAGGAGGACGACGACGACGAAGATGGCCGCGTCGGGACGACCCGCAGGCCAAAAAAGAGAAAGGGACAGAAAGGAGGACGAAGAGGAGGAGGAGGAGGAGGAGCAGGAAGAGGCCAATCAGAAATCGGGAGGAGGGCCTCCGCCAGGGCGAAGAGAAAAAGTCGACGTTCAAACAGATTCTCATGCGGGGTCCAACCGTCGGCGCAGTTGAAAAACAAAAAGAGAACGAACAAATTCTGGTAACGGTCGTTAACCACGGGAGGGGAGGTCACGGGTAGCGGCAACGATTGGGCGGGATGGGCTACGTCGGGCGGGTGAGCTGCGATCGCCACAATATGCGCGCGAGCGCCAGCATGTGGGGGGGGGTCCAGGCCCCCGCACGTACGATCGTTACCGTTACCAGGGCGGGGCGTTGGCCCAGGTAACGACCGTTCTGCGCCAGAGGCTCCAACTCAACGAAAGGGTTTTCGACTGTTTTCGTCGGTTCCTGGAGGCTCTCTGGCCGCGAAGTGCATTTCAGCGGCTGCGCCTCGACGCCAAGCGTCCAGAGCTGCCCAGATCGCCCAGTTCCGCTGCCGGAGATCTAAGCTACGACCTCAAAACCAACCGACGATATTATGTGTTCGTCAATCCGCGCGGTGTCCCTCGATTTGGGCCTCCTGGGCCCGCTGGCGGGTCTCAGGGCTATCAAAAATCCGCCGACCCTGTCGGCGTGTGGAAGAGGCTGTTCTATTTGACTCGTCGTCGTCGTCGCCTTCGCCGCTCCCCTCCCCTTTCCCTAGGCCCGTCGCCGCTCCCCCCTCTTTCACCGGGCCCTTCTCCTCGAGCGCGCCAGCCACAGCGAAATTGAGCAACGTTGTAGTGGAGTCGAAAGAAGCCCCTTGCCTTTGATTCCTTCCCCGCCGGGGGGGAGCGTTCCCGGGGAGGGGTCCCAGGGGGGGGGTCGCCACACAGCCGGGGGGGGGTCCTGGATGGGGGGTCGCCACCCAGATGCGACTCCCCCCTGGGCGGTTCGGGGGCCCAGAAAAGCCCCAAGACGCAGCAAAAGTGCCCCAATATGCCCCCAAGACGGTCCTCGAGGGCCCTGAATCGCCGAAGTATCGGTCGAACTCGCCAAAGAAGCCTCTAAACGGCTCAAAAGGTTTCCAAAACGCCCCAAGAGGCCTCCAAGAGGACTTCCAAGAGGGTCCCAAGGGGCAAAAATCATGGATGTCCCTTAGGTTGTTGAAAGATTTCGGCCTTCTCGCCTTGTCAGCTTCCCGACGCTCCCAAGACTGCCCCAAGATGATTAGCCCAAGAAGCCTCCAAGAGGGCCCCAAAACGACCCAAGAGGGCCCCAAGACCGCCCAAGAGGCCTCCAAGACAGCCGAAGAGGCCCCCAAGACGGCTCCAAGAGGGAGACGGGGGACCCGAACGGTCAATTCGAGCTCTTGGCCTGAGAAGCTCCCAGGAGGCCCCCAGACTAAGAAGCACCCCAGAGGCCCCAAGAGGCCCCCAAGAGACTCCCAGGTGGTCGTCGTCGTCGTCGTCGCCGTCGTCGTCGTCGTCGTCGTCGTCGTCGCCATTCAGGGTCGGCGGCACCGGCCGTAAGGCCTTCGCAAATAGATTCGGAGCGAAAAACTGACCCTGGGGAAGCGGACGGGACCACTGGGGCCGCGGATGCACGAATCGCAGTGGCCCATATCAGACGCCCCCTCCCCGCCCCCCTCCCGAAGAGGGTACGTCTCGTGAAAGATGTGCCTGCCACTGCGACAAATCCATCCGCCTCCGATCGGAGCATGGTGGTGACTAAGCTTCTATAAATGTCAGCGAGCATGGATGAGCATCGATTAACCGATCCCCATCCCCAGCGGCATGGCCTGGGCCCCGCTGGCCGACTTACCCCCCTAGATGGGGATATATGTCGTTCTCTTCAGGTTTCGAGGGGTGTATCCCCAACTGGGGTGGTAATTTGGTGGGGGTCTCGAAGGGGATGGAGATGGGGATGGGGATCGGATAAACGATACCGAATCGTCGCCGTCGGTCGTCGGTCGTCATCGACTTCGGTCGTCGGTCGTCGGTAGTCGGTCGTCGGTCGTCGGTCGTCGTCGGTCGTCGGTCGTCGGTCGTCGGTCGTCGGTCGCCGGTCGTCGGTCGCCGGTCGTCGTCGTCGTCGGTCGTCAGTCGTCGGTGGTCGGTCCTCGGTCGTCGTCGTCGCCGTCGGTCGTCGGTCGTCAGTCGTCAGTCGTCAGTCGTCGGTCGTCGGTCGTTGGTAATCGATCGTCGGTCGTCTGTCGTCGGTCATCGGACGTGAGTCGTCGGTTGTCGGTCGTCAGTCGTCGGTCGTCGGTCGTCGTCGGCCGTCGTCGTCTTCGGTCGTCGGTCGTCGGTCGTCGGTTGTCGGTCGTCGGTCGTCGGGCGTCGGTCGTCGTCGTCGTGCTCGTCGATCGTCGTCAGTCGTCGGTCGTCGTGGTCGTCGGTCGTCTGCCTTCTTAGTCGTCGTCGTCGCTCGTCGGTCGTCTGTCGTCGGTCGTCGGTCGTCGATCGTCGTCGGTCGTCGACGTCGGTCGTCGTCGTCGGTCGTCGGTCATCGGTCGTCGGTTGTCGGTCGTCGGTCGTCGGTCGTCGTCCTCGTCGTCGCCGGTCGTCAGTCGTTGGTCGGCGGTCGTCAGTCGTCGGTCGTCGTCGGTCGTCGGTCATCGGTAGTCGGCAGTCGGTCGTCGGTCGTCGTCGGTCGTCGGTCGTCGGTCGTCGGTCGTCGGTCGCCGGTCGTCGGTCGCGGTCGTCGTCGTCGCTCGTCAGTCATCGGTGGTCGGTCCTTGGTCGTCGTCGTCGTCGTCGGTCGGTCGTCGGTCGTCGGTTGTCGGTCGTCGGTCGTTGGGCGTCGGTCGTCGGTCGTCCGTCGTCGGTCGTCGTTCGTCGGGCGTTGGTCGTCGGTCGTCGGTCGTCGGTCGTCCGTCGTCGTCCTCGTCGGTCGTCGTCCTCGTCGGTCGTCGTCACTCGTCGGTCGTCGTGGTCGTCGGTCGTCTGCCGTCGTCGTCTTCGGCGTCGGTCGCCGTGGTCGTCGGTCGTCGGTTGTCGGTCGTCGGTCGTCGACGTCGGTCGTCGGTCGTCCGTCGTCGGACGTGAGTCGTCGGAGTCGGTCGTCGGTCGTAGTCGTCGTCGGTCGTCGGTCATCGGACGTCGGACGTCGGTCGACGGTCGTCGGTCGTCGTCGTCGGTCGTCGGTCGTCGGTTGTCGGTCGTCGGTCGTCGGTCGTCGGTCGTCGTCGTCGCCGGTCGTCAGTCGTCGGTCGTCGGTCCTCGGCCATCTGTTGTCGGTCGTCGGTCGTCGTCGTTTTCGATCGTCGGTCGTCGGTCATCGGTCGTCCATTGTCGGTCTTCGGTCGTCGTTGTCTTCGGTCGGTGGTCGACGTCCTTGTCATCGTCGTGGTCGTTGTCGGTCTGCGGTTGTCGTCGTCGGTTGTCGGTCGTCGGTCGTCGGTCGTCGGAAGTCGGTCGACGATCGTCATCTTGGGTACTCGGCGTCGTCGACGTCGTCGGTCGTCGTCGTCGTCGGATGTCCGTCATCGGTCGTCGATCGTCGGTCATCGGTTGTGGGACGTCGTTGTCGTCTTCGTCGTCGTCGGTCGTCGGTCATCGGTCGTCGGTCGTCAGTGGAGGGTCGTCGTCGTCGTCGGTCGTCGTCAGTCGTCGCCCGTCGTGGTCGTCAGACGTCAGTCGTCGGTCGTCGTCGGCGTCGGTCGTCAGTTGTCGGTCGTCGGTCGTCGGTCATCGGTCGTCGTGGTCATCGTCGTCGGTCGTCGGTCGTCGGTCGTCGGCCGCCGTCGGTCATCGTCGTCGTCTGTCTTCGTAGTCGTCGTCGGTCGTCGGTCGTCGGTCGTCGTCATTATCGTCGGTCATCGGCGGTTGTCCATCGTCGGTCGGTCGTCGTCTTCGGCCTTCGGTCGTCGGTCGTCGGTCGTCGGTCGTCGGTCGCCGTCGCCATGGTCGGTGGTCGGTCGTCGGTCGTCGGCCTTCGGTCGTCGGTCGTCGTCAGTGTCGTCGCTGGTCGTCGGTGGTCGATCATCGGTCGTCGGTCGTCGGTCGTCGTGGTCGTCTTCATCGTCGGTCGTCGGTCCTAGTAATCGATTTCATCGTCGGTCGTCGGCCGTCGGTCGTCGGTCGTCGGTCGTCGTCGCGTTGTCGTCGGTCGTCGGTGCTCGGTCGTCGGTCGTCGGTCGTCTGTCGTCGGTCATCGGCCGTCGGTCGTCGTCGTCGGTCGTCGGTCGTCGATCGTCGATCGTCGGCCATCGTGGTCGTCATCGCCATCGGTCGTCGGTCGTCGTCGGTCGTCGGACGTGGTCGGTCGTCGGTCGTCGTGGTCATCATCGGCGTCGGCGATCGTCGGTCGTCGGTCGTCCGTCGTCGGACGTGAGTCGTCGGAGTCGGTCGTCGGTCGTAGTCGTCGTCGGACGTCGGCAATCGGACGCCGGACGTCGGTCGACGGTCGTCGGTCGTCGTCGTCGTCGATGATCGTTCGGTCGTCGGTCGTCTGTCGTGGGTCGTCGGTCGTCGGTCGTCGGTTGTCGGTCGTCGACCGTCGGTCGTCGTGGTCGTCTTGGTCGTCGGACGTCGGTCGTCGTCGTCGTCGTCGGTCGTCGGTCGTCGATCGTCGGTCGTCGGTCGTCGGTCGTCGGTCGTCGGTCGTCGTCGTCGTCGTCGGTCGTCGGTCGTCGTCGTCGTCGTCGGTCGTCGGTCGTCGTCGTCGTCGCCCTGACGTCCCGGCTCCCGCCGCACCTCCCTCACGCGCAAGGGGGGGCGGCGCCTGGACGCCGCCGCTGCCGCAGTCGCCAGAGGCTTGAGACCCGCGGACCTACGCGCGCGCGCTCCCAGCAGGAGCTGGCGCCCAGGGTGAGACTTTTCATGGGGGCCTTTCGTGAGGAGAGAGGCGCTGGCGACACTGGTGATGATAGTGATGATAGCCAAAGTGCTGACAATAAGGATAAGAATGATGGTGATGATGATGATGGCGATGGCGATGGCGATGATGATGATGATGATGATGATGATGATGATGATGATGATGATGATGGTCGTGATGATGATGATGATGATGATAACGATGGTGCCAGTAAGGATCATGAGGAAGTGCGCGCGAGCGAAGAACCTTGACGTGACGAAGACCTTGACGATGACGCACTCCTGCGCAACCTCATGTGAACCCTACCCTTGCAAGTCAAACCTCTGAACATGATGAAACCACGAACCCGGAAAGGGATATAGAACCACATGCATGGAAACGTTTTCACGACACCGTATTGGGCGACGGGCACTTCCACGAGACATCCCGCGAAAAAATCCACGAGACATGGGCGACCGTTTTCAACGTTTTCCTGGAAACATTCCACGAGACACCCCGCAAAACAGTCCACGAGACACCCCACGAAACATTCCACGACGACAGGCAACCACTCAACCAAGGCGGTGTGGTCGTGCTGGGGAGTGGTCGTGCTGGGGTGTGGTCGTGCTGGGGGGTGGTCGTGCTGGGGGGTGGTCGTGCTGGGGGGGGGGTCGTGCTGGGGGGTGGTCGTGCTGGGGCTTGGTCGTGCTGGGGCGTGGTCGTGCTGGGGCGTGGTCGTGCTGGGGTGTGGTCGTGCTGTGGTGAGGTCCTGCTGGGGTGTGGTCGTGCTGGGTGATGGTCTTGCTGGGGTGGGGTCGTGCTGGGGTGGGGTAATGCTGGGGTGTGGTCGTGCTGGGGGGTGGTCGTGCTGGGGGGTGGTCGTGCTGGGGGGTAGTCGTGCTGGGGGGTGGTCGTGCTGGGGCTTGGTCGTGCTGGGGCGTGGTCGTGGAAAAGCATATAGGACCGCATGCATGGAAACGTCTTCACGACACCGTATTGGGCGACGGGCACTTGCAATGCTGAAGGTGTCGATGGCGATGTGCTGTGCCAGGGGATGGGCTGTGCCGTGCTGTGCTGACTTGGAATTTGCCATGCTGCGCTGAACTGTGCTGTGCTCGAGAACATCCTCGGTAACTCTGCGGAGCAAGCGTTTCGCTCGAGACATCCTCAACACACGAAAGAGTGGCCCGCACCCTGTGATTTATCGATCGGGATTTCAAAAACAAGCGTTTCGCCTGAGACGTCCTCAAATTTTAATCCGCCGGCCCACCTCGACCTCGATATTTATCAGGGAAAGAATCCGCCGGCCCACCTCAGACGAGGCACCGGGGACAGATTACCATCCTAAAAGAGAACCCTGGGCCTACGCCCTTTCCGGGAAAAACAGGAGGGCGAGGAGGGGGCAACGCACGGAGCGGGAGGAGGGCCTGCGCCAGGGCGAGAAAGAGAATGACGCAGAGGCGACACTAAGGGCGCCTCACAAATCACGAGGACGACGATGAGGGTCATTTCCAGATTAGCCGAGAAGATGCTCATGTGGGGTCGTACCGTCGGAATAAGTCTGACGAAGGACACCGTCAATCGCCGACGGTGGGGGGTCCTCGGCAGCACAATCGTTTTTGGCGATGGCCGAACGAATGCTGCCCAGCGCAGGGAAAAAGCGCGAGACGCCGCAACTGTCAAGATCCAGGCTGAACTCGGCCACGCGGTCCTCTGATCCGTGGGACAGGCCCGCAGCAAAACGGCGGTAAACTTACGCTGAACCCATTGGCGGCCACGTGGACGGATGAAGTCTCCTGAGGTGC